CAACACCATTACATTGGTGGTATGTAAATGACGTGTGTATGTGCATGGTCGTTACAAATGAATAGTCACAGATTTTTCGCTGCTGTTGCCAGTTGGCTTTGCCAAAATTTCCTTTGCCTGCTTTTGGCATTCTGCCGGTTTCCTTGGCTGAGCTGAACCACTCTCTAGACCACCGACTCTAACCCAAAGTCTATTCATTCTCATTTGTTTGGATATGCCCTCATTTCATTATAAATGAAGAAGATTACATTCGAAATAAAAATTATTTTTAAATTTCTATATATTATATTATATAATATTTATTGTACGTAAATATGTGAGTATATTTGCATTATTCCTTAGACATATGCCTCCATTTTAATCATTATGCTGCGAAGATACGCACCCACCTCTGTGTCACAAAGAACGCCCCTCAACAAACACAATGAATGTTTGACGTCTAAATAATTTGTTTTCTGCAGTGCCAGGGTGCAGTGGAGAGAAAAACAATAAGTGGAGGTGGGATGGATACTGAGAGATGAAGAAAGACGAAAGGAAAGATGACTACAGCAGATTTCAAAACCGAAACATACTTATTTGGGAACCAAAGTATTGTATATGGGGGGAACAATTCTCAGCTCTGCTGAATGACAGTGAAAATGCACCACCCGGAGATGGGGGACCCGGAAACGCAATGAATTATGATGGAAAAGACATGCCCTTACCCGACTAGTTTCGAAGAGCAACTTCCTGCTTAAAAAATAAAAAAGCGGCTGGAGCCAATGGCCTATGATAGTTGAGTTATTTAAACTCGGCGGTACAGGAATCAGCTTCTTTGCAAAATATAGTCGGACGAAAGCATGACCAACGATTAGAGCTTAAGTGTGCTCTGTCATTTTCTAACCTTTTAAGCGTTGTTCGGAGGAGCTTCTCTTCCAATTTATGGTGTTTTTTCAGCAAATTGAGGGACCTACAATTTTTGATATTTGATTTCTGCTATGTTCGTCATTTCACAATGAGCAGACTTACCACGGAACAACATTTGCAGATCGTGCAAATTTATTAGCAAAATAGAGGTACGGTTAGCGTAAAGCATAGCACACTGTACTCAATATTTGGTCCACAGCATCGGTAATTCGACCGATCATGTCTAGGCTTCCCATCATGTTTACTCTAATGGATAATTTACTTTCTTAGAGATGACGTACAGGACGCATCGAATGCATTATTGCTGCTAAGAAGATTATAGAAGAAGGCTTGAATGAACCCTGAGCTGTGCCCATCCAGTTTATGGAAAAATTTACGGCAGAGTCTTGATTTACGAATCCAACGCAAAAATTACAGCCGAATGACTCCCACGCGGAACCTATGTTGGGTTCATGGGCCCACAATGAGATGGCCGTGGACCCCGATTTTCACAAAAAAATATTGTTCAGCGATCGAACACTTATGAAGAGACATCTTCATCTTCAGGGACAGTCCGGTGGTAGTAGCAGCCGCAGTCTAAATCACAATAAACTCTAAAATCGCGCTTAAATAACGGAGTTATACTCAAAATATGCCTTATCAGTGTGGCTTTAGATTTAGTAAATCCACCATTGGCCAGTTATTAACCATACAACAAATTTTGGAAAGACACGTACGGTTTGTCATCCACAGTATTGTTCACAGCCATAACTTCGAGGTCGTAGACAGGTCTTGGAACCAACATTAATACCAACAAAAATGTCAGCATAGAAATCCAACGCAGGCGAAAAATAGTTACGCTTCGTAAGTCCATCAGTACATAAGCGTGAAGATGTCAACTTCCGATTAGGCGGCCCTGAGAGTCTTCGAGAGAAAACTTCTGCAAACGATTTATGGTCCTTTGCGTATTGACAACGTTCAATACTACAAACAATGAGCTGTACGAGTTATACTGTCACACTAAAATATTTTGTTCATCGATTGAAAATACAGCGGCTACGCTGGCTAGATTTTGTCATCCGAATGAATCAAAGCGCTCCAGCTTTAATAGTATTCAAAGCAGTGCCTACCCCGGTGGGCGGAGGAAGAGGATGGCCTCCACGTCGTTGGAAAGATCAAGTGAAGAGCGACCTAGTTTCACTTGGTATTTTCAACAAACAGCAAACAGGAGGAATGCATGGCGGGCTATTGTTGATTCAGCTATAATCGCGTAAGCGGTGCCCATGCCAAAGGAGAAGAAGAAATATATGTATGTACATATGTATATTCAGAGCACATGCTTACATTACTATACATAGAAATAAATATAACCTAAAAATCTATTAATTGGCCATGCTTTTGTCACTTTTTTCTTTATTACATATGTACACATATACTTGCACACATATGTATTTCATTTCTTATTTTATTTTAAATGACTTTTCATGTTGAAAGCGGCCGATTATTTTTTTGTTTACAATAAATTAGCCTACTTCTTAAAAGTACTTATTTTGCGCATTTAATTAAACTACATATACATATATAATCCCCTTCTAAATATATAATTTACTTTTCATCCAGTTTTTCTTCCACGCCAGCTTTTGTGCTGCCCACTGAAGCTCATAAATATGAACTAAAACAATACATACATAAGCCACTTACATTTTTCTCCCCCATTAAATCACAATTAAATTCTTATGCAGTAATTAACTGTTGTTGTACAGCACTTAATTTTATATATGAATATAATTAAAAAAGAAATTTAATACTTTTCTTTTAATAAAGCGCAAATTAACTTAAATTTTCAAAAAATTCTCAGTACCGACGCCACCACGCTTTTGTCAACAGATACAGCACGTATTTTACCGTTAAGGAGCTGAACTCTTAATAAAAAAAGCTTTCCTGAGTAAAAATATTCCGACTAATAGGCGTAGGCCTGCCTTGGGGCGAACGAGAGTAACATTGCGTAGATTTGCACGAGTGTATAGACGACAAAGTAGAGTACTCTTTGGTTTTAAGGGGTTACATAGGTCTTGAAGGCCAAAAAACTGCTTATTTTCTCTAATTTTTTTAAAAGATACTAATAAAGTATACAATTATTTTTTTTTACATATAAAAGTATAATATGTGGACACCAATTGATGGAAATTTGAAAGCAAAATAGTATAAGTTAAGGCGTTGGCAGTGTCGTGAAGTAGACCGTCACAAGAAAGTGTTTTCGCGGTAGTCATGATAACTTTTTCCATTTTTATCTGAAATCAAAAATCTAAATTTTTTCTTAAAGTAGGTGAATTTACCTTGTTTCTGAACGAAGAAGAATTGAAAAAAATTAATTGAAGTTTTCTAAGCGTTTTTTACAAAAAACCTCTTTTTTTTACATAAAATTTGGCCACATATTGGCTTGTTAAATGAGTTGAAATCAAAGATAAAATAAATCCTTCGGTCAGGGACTATAAAAACATGTATGGAAAATTTGAGCTAGATCGTTTCAATAGTCGTTGAGAAATTTTGACTACCGATTTCGATAAAGTGGTTTTAAGAAAAAAGTTAAAGTTTCGCCATCGGTCACGCCATGACGCAGACGGCGGATTCTAAGAATCTCTAATTTCTACAGTTTCGTCCCGATCGACTTGAAACTTGGAGAAAATATTCCTGACACTTTGTACTTTTATACAAAAAATTATTAAAAAAAATTAATTCTTTGAATTTTCAAGAACTATGCAACTCCTTAATGAGTGATTGTAGTGATCTAGAAGACGGAGCCATGTATACAAACCACATTAATTTAGAAAAGTTTTTTATTGCCATTCAAAAAGGCCAAAAACGATTGTTTCATATATGGTTCAAGCAGCTCACGACTTCCGGTCTTCGACTGAGTATCCTCCGGGTAGCCGAAAAACGATCGTTTAGAGAATTTGAAACCAGTAACACAGAATATTTACGCTATTGAAAAAATCACAACAATCATTGGCTAAGAGACACTTTTTGTTGACGATCTCTGTATATATTTTAAGGTTCACAATTTGAAAGTAAACACCTGGAATATTCGATCCCATAGGAATGAGCGGCTGCCCGGATGGTTAATGTCTTCTTATGACTAAAGCCTGACATCACCGGAAACGGGTGGGTCTTATTACATCGCTCATATAAATACATGCAACTTTGGTGGTGATTTTGTGGCTGAAGAAACTCTATCGCAAAGTTCTGACGTTTACCCCTGTTGATGAACGTATTTCCAAAATCCGTAACAAAGTGAATTTCCTTAATATATCACTGATTTGCCCACCCTATACGAAGTGCCTAGCCAACAAGTGCTACTTAAAGTAAAGTCCTCTCTAGACGAACGGAGACCAAACTCTACAAGTCGCTTATCTTTCCGGTTCTGCTATATGGTGCGGAAGCTTGGACGATGACAATAGCTGATTAGTCGGCTTTAGGAGCTTTGGTGAAAAATGTTCTTAACTAAGATTTGCTGTCCTCTCTCGGTAACGGCGAATATGGCAGCCGATGGACTGATGAGCTGTGTGAGATGTACGAATCAGCGAATCAAGAAACGGCAGCTACGCTAGCGAAGTCAAGCGGCTCAGTTGGATAAGAATACTCCAGCTCAGAAAGTGTTCGATGCAGTAACCGCCGTGGAAGAAGAAGAAAAGGAAAACCTCAACTCCGTTGGAAAGACCAGGTAGAGAAGGACCTGGCTGTACTTGGTATCTCCAATTTGCGTCCAATAGAGAAAAAAAGAAACTTATGTCATATATTCGGTGGTGGTGTCTACGCCACTAAAGTAAATAAGTGAGCCGAAACATTGTACAAATTTTCATTGGAGCTAGCTTCTACTCTGCGGAATAAATTTAATTACACTCCTGTGTGTCCTCAAGACCATCACAAACTCGTAGCCACATACCGGTAAAAAGACATTGCAATCAGACACCAGCGAACCCATAAACCGCATACGTCGGAGTGACTCTAATGAAAATTCCTATTTTTAGTTCCCTTTTTTAGCCAAAGGGGAAGAGTATTTTAAAAATCTGACAAAATTTCCATATAAATAAAAATGTATATGTGTATAGACTTACCATATCGTCTGAATTAGAGCATTAGGGTGCAACACTTCCTAATCTCGGCTTTGAAGAATCTGCAAAGAAATCAAGAATATTATGAATTATCCACAATAATATTTCATTTCAATACCTAAAAACTATAAACATGAAAAATAAGTATTTATTTGTTTCAAATACTTACATTCTAGCCATGCCAGCGGCACTTGTCTCCTTGGGCACTGAAAAGCCATTTAAATAACTATAAATAATACGAGATTACATTAGAAGCTTGCAAATCGTCGAGGCAATTTACACTGTTCTTACTTACTATGCGCATAATTGATTTAAATTAAAATTCAAAACTCAACATTCAACATTCAACTATCAAAGCCAGCCGCAGCCTTTTCCCCACTTCCCTTTCGCCACTACAAGGCCACAAGTAACACTTTCGCTATTAAGGGAAGTGCATTTTACAAAAGTTGATTGCCGTTCTTAGTGTTGTTGTTGTTGCTGTTTTTGAATTTGCTATGATTGTTTGTGTTAAACTAACAAAATTGCCAGCACAAAGTCGCCGCTGTACACGTAAAATTCCCTAAACGTTCCTAGCCAAGCGTATAATATACAAATTTCCACCAACATTGCCCAGCCCGCATAACCCAAAATCTCCATTTCACCTGCATTTCGAACAGCCACGGCATACTTGAGAAGCATGCGCTAGAAAGAATATTAAACAGCCATTATCCTTTTACCAAGCGCTACTTATGAGAACAAAATATTAAGCAAAAAAAATTTTAAGTTTGCTTTGCTTAAAAGTTTAGCTTTTTTCCGGAAAGTTGGTGATGCAGTTGGTGCATTTATTGCCCAAGGCGGTAAAATTTGAAATGTATGTGCATAATGTGCTGGAAGAAGTGCTTGGTTAGGGCGCAGAAAAGCAGTAAGAAAGATGTTGTACGAGTATATAGTTTTTGTGGGAATATGTAGAAAGTTAAGATGGTGGCATTTTGTCTTTTATTTCGAACGAAAGCCACTCAGCGCCACAGACATTTCAGTAATGCAATCTTAATATGCATCAGCATGTATACACGTTGCCTGCACTTGGGTGTGAATGTACGTGTTTTCTAGGTAAACCCAGTTTTTCACTCGTCGTGTGTCCTCCTTTCCGTTCACCATCAGTTGCAAATTAATACTCTCAAGTATTGTAAACTTTCTCATAATGTACGAAGCCCAGTTCCCTCAGGATTAGCGGTGCATTTTAGTGGCCGATGAGAAAGGTTTGCATTGAAAAAGCAGAATCGTTTCATGAACGGATGTAAGAAATACAGAAATCGTTATTCAAAGTTGAACGAAAATTGTTGAATCAATAATGAGGAGTCAGAGATGCCGGAATAATTAAGCGAAGCTTATTTAGATCAAAAACCAATAACTAGCATACACTGTGGACCAAAAACCTGTTGGAGTGATACCCACGATCGATATTATCCTCTCTAATTTCCACTGGCATAATTTTAAATACAGCGTTTTCCAAAAAGATGCCCCAGACTCATTTTCGAAAAAGCAATGTCCAATGACCCCCCATTGGACCCTAAACCGCGCCAAAAGTTACATAAATTTTGCGTTTTCCAATCCCAGATGCGACAGTTTTACATATTTATGTAGCCATCAAGGTGAAAATGGGTCTCATCAGTCAAGATGATTTTTCGATGAAATTTCACATCATTTTTATGCATTTCAAGAGCCCCGATGTTATTGAATATCAGACGGCTTGAGTTCGGAACCTTGTTATCCTTAAGACCCAAGTCTATATTTGGAATACGGTGTAATGACGTTTGTGGAATGCCCAATTCCCAAGAAAGACGAGGTATAGACAATCCTGGGATTTCTTCAACACTTTTAGAAGCAATATTCTCAATTGTTATTGAACGACATGCACATGGTTTATTCTTTACAACACTAACTTGTCCCAACAGCTTCATTTTTTCCACCAATTTCTATATTGCGGTTCGATAAGGTGCTTCACGACGACCGGCAAATGTTTGAGTTTTACGAATCGTCTCTACCAGATTTTTACCATCTTTATAATGAATTTTAATAATTTCATGGCGTTGTTGAAGCATGTATTGTTCCGTTTTTATTACTGGCGTAGTTTTTACTAGTTAAATATGAAAAAATTACAACTTCAGTAGTGACATCTACCGGAATAGCTGGCTATTCAATATAATATTTCTTATTGGGAACCCCTTTATAAACAAATTACATAGAAATATGGAGAAAAAATTAATTATTTAAAAACATAAAATCCTTATAACATATTTGACCCTATAACATAATAAGTGGAAAAATTTAAACTAATAACAATAAAATAAAAACATATTAGAGTAATCAGTAATTATTAATATTTTATAGCTTAACGGTTAGTTTTAATATCGTCACTGCACGTCCTCGGAATATATGATTGCTAATGACTCCCGTGCACACCGTCTCCGTCAATCCTCCTATGAAGTATCTAGCAAAGATGTTCAATTGGTTTATAATATTACCTCCGCCATGCATACCAACATAGTATCGAAGAAATATTGTTTGATCGGCGAACTTTTTTCGTTCAGAATATTTAAAAAAAAATATAATTATAACAAAAAAATGGGTTTCCATTCTTTCACTGACTAGTTGACGTGCTCTGTAAACGGTTAAACCGATTTTTCCCCGGAAATAATTGGCCTCTTGACTGCTCTGTAGCTTCTTTGTTCTTTTCAGCTGCTTGCCTTTATGTTGAGGACCCTAATAATATATAATTCCATGAGTATCTGTGAGTGCTTGTACCGTGGTGTAGCTTGTAAGAATGCCAATAGCGGCCGCGGTTGCCGAGTGGTTAGCATTGCATACTGCCATTCAGAAGGCTCGGGTTAAAATCATGGTGTCGTACTAACATCCAAAAAACTATAGAAAATTTATTTAAATAAAAAATTAAGTTAAATTTTCTAATAGTCGTCGCCCCTGCAGGGAATGTCGACCCCTCCGAGTGTATTTCTGACATGAAAATCTTTCGATTGGCCATCGAGTCTTTGGAGGCGTCCTAGAATAAACTGTAGGTCCCTCCATTCGTTGGAAAAACATCAAGACACATGCCACAATAGGAGAAGGAGCTCGGCAGAAAATCACTTCATCGATCACAAAGCGCCTATTATATACATATACATATATCTTATTATAAAATAGAAAATGCTTCAATAGTAATCATACCGAATTATTATCACTCTATGAAAGGCAAGTGGAGAACAAGCAAAAAAATTGTCGAAAATCCTTTCTATTAGTATTCCTTATTAGTTTTCTAGTAGATGGGTTAGACTAAAAAAGAAAAATGGTATTATTACGACTCAGCTAACTCGGAGACTCTTATCGAGAGAAAGCTGTCTTTTCAAGCATATGCCGTGCTGGCAACAGACAAATTATATCCACAGCTCAGAGAGGAGAAAAAAAATTCAAGAAAAAGTAATTCCATAGCCAATTTAAGCTGGAAAGGTATAGCTTCGAAATAGATGTTTTTCTAACTTTAAAAAAGATCTCATCTAAAGGAAGTGCATACATATACCAAACAGCAAGCTCAACCCCAGAATGAAATTAAGTAAATTGAAGTTAAAATATAAATAAATGATTTTCACGATTATATACATAATATGTGTGAAAAATGTATTAACTTTTTATTCTCCACTTTATTCACCACATTGCAAAATATTTATCTACTCGAGATACATATTTTTTCAACTCCAACTCTCAATGGCTTACTGTAAAGCCATTACAATTTTCTCAAGCCACATATACAATAGATCACAATACAAACCACCATTCTAGTGCTGGTACTGTTATGGGCAACTATAAACTAAATCCCATCACAATTTATCATTTTACTAAATGCAATATGCAAAAGCTTACTTTTGCTTTGTTTGCATGCAAATCTCTTAGCGATGTGCATATGAATGTGTGCAGCAAACACTTAAATATATCGAAAATTTAATAGACACCCTGCGAGGAGTACTCGTATGTGAATATATTTAAATTCTTTTAAGCGAATTTTTATTCCATGTCTTAATGTGCTATCTGGCGGCCGCGATGGCTGAGTGGTTGGCATTGCGTACTGCCATTCGGAATCCCAATGTGCGAGTCCTGGTCCGACCAACATAAAAAAATAATTTATCTAACTGCGTCGAACCGCGGCGGAGAATGTCAAGTGCATTTCTGACATGAGAAAAACTCCTCCTCCTTTAACTCTAAGATATACAACACGCCTCCTTCTACTGGCGTGTGAAGAATCCGAAGAAAGAGTTCAATGAAATGGATTTTTATTGAGATTTGTTTCTTCGTATTTCTTCATGTTTTGACCAAATTTCATTGATTTGAATATAAAAAATAAATTAGCTAAAATTTCATTTCGAACGCAGTCAGTTCGCTAGCAGAGAGTGGTCATATCTGAATTGTTTTTACACCTTTCCACAAACTATAGAAAGAAGACAAAATTTCAACATATTCTGAGAGCTCATAAATTATAAAACAACGTACTGTATATTCTCTGAAAATAAAGGGAACTTTATTTTAAAATCTTTCGACATTTATGATGGTGCTACGAGGTCGAAAAGAATTTCCGATAGCAAAAACAACCTAAGCAGTTTAACAGAATATATTTGATGTACATGGCATTATCGACCGATATGATATGAGCAAATATTAAGCTTTTCCAGACATATTGGAGATGTGTTTCTACCAAAAATGTCTACCTTTCGCCGTGATAATAATGTACAATAATTCCTACTAGCCGATTTGGTGGCGTACGCTTTCGTACTCGAATTTTGGAAGTTTTTTCTTGATATGGCATGATGTACTCATTTTTAAAATTAAGAAATCATTACTAAATACATTCCATAATTTCCCTGACTCCTACTTATCCAACAGGGTATTTATTGTAAAATTAAATATGTAACAGAGAAAAATCCAATCCCTTCAGGTGTTTCTCAAGCTAGTGTTCTTGTGCTATTAGTGTACACTGTAGACATTCCTAGAAGCCATAAAGCAATCTCGTCAACTCTTGCACATGGTACTGCTAACG